AATGCGCACTCTGCAGTAATGACTGGAAGTTACAGGATAACACGAATGTAAGAAATATAGGACGCGACAGAATAAAAGGTTGTGAAGCCATCTCAGTTCGGTCTACAGTGCTATACGGGCTTCATAAAAGGCAATGCTAGAGCCACCTTCATTACGAAACAGCCAGGCAAGGCTGTCGTACTAAGGCGGTTGCACTTTGCCCGCGCAAGTTTGTAAGCACAATGAGTGTACGAAGACTTAATGCAAAAACGCAATGAGGAGCGGGAAAAGTGAAGGCATGGGTACGTGCTACTTGACGAGGGGTGTTGTGGCTGCCCTCAAGTGTGGCTGAAAGCGCAGATTATACGGTGAAACAGTACCACCGCCACATACGTCTTGCGAGGCATATATGAGGTCATCACCCATCGGGGCACCCGGCATCACCGCAGCGACGGCCTCATTGGCCGTGGTTCAGCGTCTTTGTGGAAGCGACGTTCTCCATCCCTCTCCCACGAATCAGTGCGGTCGGCGAAAATCACAGTGGATTACGCGTCCTGCTTGGAATGTCGTCTTTGTAAACCTGCCGGATGGCGTGTCTCTTGCGCAGTACATGACTCTCGTGAGACGAACGCGGGAAAGGCCGTTTTTTTTTTCGACCAGCCTGATTTATATGCGCGCTCTAGAACGAACCGCCCGTCCAGCTGTGCAGTTCTTGGCTCGCTTGCCACGACTGGCCGTCAAGGTGAACTGGTTGATCCGCTAACCCGCACTGCCCCCCGGAATGCGACACCGTTAGTTTCACTCACTTCTTTTTTCCTCCTGTCGTTCCCGACGACGCCGAGGCGGCCATGGAGTCCCGGATGCCAGTGTGCCGAACGCAACGCGTATGGACGCGAATAAGCGCAGCCTGTGACGTCATGGACTCAGCTTCTGAACTTACTGGCACTCTATGCGATGGGGGCTTCAATGACAGACAAGTCGCTTTTTCAATGCTATAAGTATGTGGAATAAACACCTCCATGCATGAATAAAGTAACAAACTACATGTCATGATTCGATAGCATTATTGTGACATCGCAAAGCCCACGCTAATCTCCAACATGGCGGTTTCAGTGACGTCCATGCAATATACTATACTGCGGACCTTGTCACGCTGGTCTAAAGATATCTTTGTACCAAAGGCAGATAGATACCTGTGTTGCTCTTCGTTTCTTTCCTGCGGGAGGGAGCCTTTGTGTCGGAGAGTGTGAGCGAGAGTTCTTGCATCGCCGGCGAGTGTGTTTTTACTGCCTGCCATTCCGGGCAAACTATCGTCCCCTCTGCGCCTGCACTAGGAGCGTGGCAAGGCTCGCACACAGCACTGTACATAAAATAGCACTCATTTGCAATAGGTGAACGTCTACACCGTGACACTACATACGTTTTTCTGAGAGGCCTTGTTTTGAGTACTTTGTCGTCTCCATAGAAAGAGAGAGGAAGGTTACGGAAAGCAGGGAGGTTAGCCGGACGAGTGTCCAGATTGATACGGTTTGCTATCCTGCACTGGCAGCAAGGCAATGGAAACTACCACAGCTCTTTCGAAGGACGGCTACCTGGTTGCCACCACGATCCCCTCTGGGCAAATGTGCGTGACTCCACAAAAGGAGTACACTGCAGAGGCGGCGCTGTCAGTCTGCGTCAGCTTATGTACAGCTCGAAGCAACCCACAAATTCGATACTCTTAGTATGCGCTGCAAAACCTTATAGGAAATAACATTTACCCGCCTGACAATAAGATGGACTCTGTGGCCAGAAAGAAATAAAAACACCAATCAGTGCGTACAATGTCGAGGACGATGACGGCTGTTATTGCCGCAAAATTCACGGAGTGCCGGAAGGTGGTGATCTAGTTATGCAACGCTAACACAATAAAGAATGTCCCTCAATCCATGTCGCCATAGCGCGAAAGTGAGGCTTTGTTTCCACTTATTTTTCAATGAGGAGGAAACAATGCAATACAACAATTGCCTTCAGTACTTTCTTCTCATGTCTTTTTTTTTTTCTTGTGCTCATCTGGGGCAGATATCAAGCAGGATTTTTCTATTTCCATGGAATGTGATGCCGTTTACGTTTCGCAAGTCTGACGCCTTGAACTGTCAAACGCATACTCGTCGGCCGTAAAGAAGAGTTATATATCTGTTGCATGCGTCTGTGGCACTTCACTCACATTGCTCAGATTGTACTACAATATTGATTGCATCAAAATCATTTTCTCTATCGGTGAATGCTTTGCCAATACGCTATCGACGTTTAATTTATGCCAGGTGGGGGTTTATATGGTTGAGCTTCTTTTCGCCGAGAACGAACGGGTGGCTGGTGGGAACATTTTAGAAAACTCTGAAATAATAAATTCTTCGCCTAGAACTATGTCACCATTAAATCCTCCATAATAGGTTCACGCCAAAAAAACAAATCGAGGTCGAAATTCTGGTTCTGAAGTACGCGCCGACACCTCAACGCCCGGACGTCAAGTATATATGATTTCGTATAATACATTTTAATAATATTTTCTCATTGCTGTCTTCTTAAATCCATGGAACAAAATTAAATAACTGTTTCCGATAAAGAATTATGCAGGCCTATAGCAGACGCTGTCAAAATATGACGTCATGTTAAGTTGGTTCGGAAACATGAAGGTGGCGTCACCATCTGTGTTTTATTTTTGCGCGTATGTCGGTTTACCGCGCATGCTCCCCCTGTAAACGTGATGTATCTGGCATTGTAAAGGGATTATTTCTTTGTACGAGAGATATAGTTTTTTTCTTAAGAGCCTCTTCAGCAAGTAAAAGAATATATGGCATATATAGGATCCACTTTAACAAAGTCTGTGGGATCACAAAAAACTTTTCGTGATCCCACTCAGATTCAATGCATCCTAATTCGACTGCACTTTATAATGAATGCTGTATTTTTGCGTGTGAGAAAGTGCCGGTTTTCCTGCCCTGTGTATTTTAAGGCAATACTGATTGACCTACGCCTATAGCTGTAGGTATCGAAATCGCGTATTGCAAAATGAGGCGAAGACGGCCATGATATTCCTCCAAACACGAAGCACACAACAATTATTCCATCAATTCCTTCTTCCATACAGCCCGTACTCACGTAACATCGCTTACACAACGGCCGTCTGCGATTGGCCATCGCCGCCACCATGGTGTCGTTATCAGTTTGATCGTTCTCGTAAGCGACAGTCATACGGTGAATAAGAAAACACTGTTACGTCAGCAAAGTTGTGCACGCACGCATATATATATATATATATATATATATATATATATATATATATATATATATATATATATATATATATATATATATATATATATGTATGTGTGTGTGTGTGTGTGTGTGTGTGTGTGTGTGAATAGCACTTGATTCTTGTAGCTGCACTGTTTCGAAATGTTAATGTGACCACAGCTGCGGTATCCGTGCAGCGCCGGGCGTGGTACAATTAGTATACATGCATACGTATAATAAACGGGGTCAATTGCATTTTCGCCTCTGTGGAAAATGTGGCCGCCTCGGCCGCGATTCGATGGAGGCGGAAATGTTGTAGGCCCGTGTGCTCAGATTTGGGTGCACGTTAAAGAACCTTAGGCGGTCGAAATTTCCGGAGCCCTCCATTACGGCGTCTCTCATAATCATGCGGTGGTTTTGGGACGTTAAACCCCACAAATCAATCAATCGGCCGCGATTCGATCCCGCGACCTGCGTGTTAGTAGCAGAGTGCCTTAGTCACTAGATCGCTGTTGCGGGTACCTCGGTACCATTGCTTGTAAGAAAAAACTTTTAGACCTTTCTTATGTCCGGAAGAAGGTGGTGCGTAACCTTGTGATATTTTTTTAAATAACTGAAGCATAACTTTGAAGCTTTATGTTTTTTTTATTATTGACGTGAACCTTAAAGCGGCTACTAAGCATTCGAGAATGACGAAGACGGAAAGTGGAAAGCAGGACGGGCGAAATTAGCATACAGCGAATGCCAGCAGTTGCTTTGCCCGCAGGTCTCTTTTTGCATGCGGCAGGAAACTAATATTGATGTCACATTGCACAGATATACTGACGTGGCAACTATGCTATTGTGGACATCCATGACTACACAATAACCATAACAAATGCGCACCGTCATTTTCATTCTACCAAAAGGGCAAAGAGTACACGTCTTTATTACTTTAAAAAGAATAATAGATTTGTTCTGCTCATTCTGTAAACAAAAAAAAATGAAGGCACTTGGCGAACACGTCTGGGGCTGAAATAACGAAGATTCTTTTTCTTTCGCTGTAGTGATATTGGATGTTGACTATAACAATGCATCCGGCATGGCGATTGACAGCATACTTGTCGCATTTACAACTGTATCGTAGATGATCTTTATGTGCACCGATCTATGTACAAACCCTTCACATCGATGAAACCTATGTCATAATTGTTTTTCCCTCGATGCGCAAAAGCAGTAATGTTTTGAGCTCCTTCCAGCAGTCAGAAGAGGCACGAATATTATTTTTTGCCACGCGTTCCACAGTTCAACAACACATAAGCGGCAATACTAACTACGTTAGTCGGATAGTCCTCAACACTACATGATGTGACGGAAAAGTGTGCTCACGAACAAAACGTCAAGGATTGCGGGAATGCAGCGAAGCATCCCGGTGCATTCAGGTGGCTGCATCTTGAGGACAACGACAGGCGGCAAACTAATCTCTGCGAGGGGGCGATGATCGCGCTTCGTGTCGGTTTCAGATTTGAAGTAGTCGGTGTATTTCGATGTCCAAATGGTTCGCACGAAGTTGACGCCGTGCTATCAGTCAAAGGCGAGACTGAACGACGAACGGGCGACAGGTGTATGACAGTCGTGCGACAACAACGTGTTCGGTGTTACGCACCGACAACACCGGCGGTGTTGCACGGACACTGCAAGACCGATTCGAAGTCGGGGCTTCAGCGGCATCCACGAGCAGCTGAGACGAAGAGGGTGGCTCTCACCTGACTTTCGCGTTGGACTCGGGAGAAGCAGCGCTGGCCAGCCGCTCCGGAAAGGTAATCCAAAGAGTGGTTTCTCGGCGCGAGCGAAAAAAAAAAAGGGGGGAGCACTCAGGGACGCTTCGGCAAACTGGTTGCTCCACGAGCGCTCATGACCGACTGGGCGACTCGAAGATCGGGGTCGCCGCGAGGAGTTCTCGTGACGTCACCTGGGCATGCAGTGAGGGGGAAGACTACACAACAGGCGGCTCCTCCTTGATAGCGAAGGAGACGTTGTGGTGGTCCGGTTGTGGTTGTGCGGGGGAAAGGGGAGAAAGCGCGAACACGTCGTTGCACTGGCTCCTACGCGTGGCTCGGCTATGAACCTGCCAGCGCTGATAGTGCTGCCTCGATACACAAGCTGCGGTTGTTTCACTGTAGCGGTAACAACACCTTTCATGTCTTTTATTTTCTTGCGTGCACCTGCCGAAAATGGAGAACTTGTACGAAAGATTCGAAGGGCTGCAAGAGAAAGTGATTCTATTCAGAGAAGATAATAGGCGAGATGAAAGGGAGGAAAACATGCATTCGTTATACATCTCCTAAAGAAGGTGATCCTACTGCACGAGTGTTTTCAGCGAAATACCAACAACGGTCGCTTTGACCGGTATCGTGGTAAGTTCGGTTTTGGCGTGAAAGAAGGATAGTTTCTATCGACAAACCAGGCTTTCATGATTTAGCTGGATGTCGTACGAAAGCGCAGGGGATGATGTAGTGAAAGGAATATGTTCAATCTGTTGCTCATGCCAGGTTGCTATTCGCCGATCAATCGGATTGGTGTACATAACTTTCAGCCATTGCGTCATGTTGGGATATCACACAGACGGAGTGGAGGGCTCGAAAACGCCTAGCCCTACTTTCTCAGTGGTCGTGAGAAATAGGGAACCAAATAGCGGCCAAATCTTTACGCACCTCATGCATCCATCGCTAAGGCAGAAGCCGCGGCTATTGCACTAGTCATACGTGCCACCGCAGCCGAAGAACAATAGGCATGTATACTCACAGACTCGCAGGACGCATGTCGCCTATACCTGCGGGGAGTTTTGCTGGCCAGTGTCATGCGAATCCTGAGACTGACCCTCTCACACGACCACAAAATAACCTAGCTGGTGTCCGGCATAAGCCGGAGTGCATAGCAATAAACGGGTGAACCGCCTGGCTCCAGAGATGACAGGCCGAGCCTCGGGCACTCCGCCCCAACCCCCCCCCCCCCCGGCGCGCCCCGCAAACTTCTAGAACTCCAATAGTACGGACAACGAACCGAGGCTCCGCCCCACCACAAGCTCAATAGGAACAAGACGAGAGACTGGCGTCGACTGCAGACCAACACATTTCCTCACTTGCAAATACTAAATAAGATGTACCCCGACAGAAACGAAAACAAAGGCATTTGGTGTGAAGAGACACCGACACTTCAGCACATCGCTTATACATGCCAGAAGTGCCCAGCAGGTGCCGTCTCGTTGCTACTGAAAGACTCACTCGCAAATTAGTCGTGGGAGGCCTGCGACCTGGACTTGGGAAGCCAGCTGGCAACCCTCGTCCAGGACCGGTGAGCTGCAGAAGCCAGTGGGGCCCTAGGGCCTTCGCCCATGTGAACCTTTACTATCTGGGCGCATCAATAAAGTAGTTGTTCTTCTTCCGGAAATTTCGACCACCTGCGGTTATTTAACGTGCATCTAAGTCTAAGCAGACGGTCCTAAAGAAGCAAAACGTTGAAACTGCGAGGCCTAATTTCTTTCATCATTTAATTGCCAAGACGCATTCAGCCCAAGTGTTCAGGGTGTATCGATGCTATCTTGACGATTGGAAGGTGTTTTTGTTTATATGTACAGCGTCAACTTAGCGAAAGCCTCGATTCACCATGAATCATGAGGTGTGTGCATATGTCGACCAGGCGCTCGCTGAGCTATAGATCAAAATCCTCTCTCACAAGCTCTGGCTTGTGAATGAAGTTGAAGCTAGCACACATTGAAAAGGTAAATTATCTTACTAAGGTTTCAGCCGTGGCACGCCCTTCGTCATAGTACTCTGACGAAGACCGTGCCGCGGCTGAAACGAGACGATGCCTTCCTGCCCACAAAGAACTTGATACGTTCGGTGTCGTCTTTCGTCCGGACTCTCAACTCCGTCCACCAACGGTGACTGCCGAATTTCGAACTCGTGGCACCAGTCAGTCATAAATAAACCCAGTCATAAATAAAAAATGGGCTTGAGCGGGTGAACGTACTAACACTTTCATTAGTTCTTTCGTTTCGGCTCGGAAATCCTTCCCACCACTTGGCGACCCTCGCTACTGAGAGGCCCCGCATGAAATTTAGTGCAATTGTCTGTCCACATCGTGCGTCGTTCACGTCAGGCTGAGAAACTGCTGTATCCTCCGTATTGCCTGACACTTTCACAAGTACGTCTTTCAATTGAAGGAATACATAAAAAATCAAATTGGCCTTCGTCAGCCCTAAAACAATTGAGCTTGCACCTCCTGCACAAAATGTACATTAACCACGTGCACATATACACTGATGGTTCAACCACAGCGTCTAGTTCTGGCGGCGCAGTGGTGATTCCAGCTGGAGGAATCGCTCTGCGAATCAAGCTGTCACACATCACTACGTCTACGGCGGCAGAACTTGCGGCTTCGCGTGGCGCCCTAGAGTAGATCAAATCCCAGAGACTAAGTAAATGGGCTGTGTTTTCGCATTAGAAACTGGCCCTACAGAGCATCCAGTCAATCCTTCGACGAGGTTGCCATAAACATTTAACTTGCGAGGTTGTCAAGCTTCTTCTTCTTCACCACGTCACAGAAACAGGTCATGAAGTCAAGTTTCAGTGGCTACCTGGCCATTGTGGGGTTAGTGGCGATGATTTCACAGACAACGCGGCTCGCACATCGCTCCAAGAAGATCACACCCTTCTGATTCCTTTGTCAAGGACAGACGCTGCAAAGCAACTTCGTCACCTGACACGTTGTCTGTGTCGGCTGGAGTGGAACACCCCAAGCATAAGACATACGAGACTCTACCAAATAAGCCATCGACTGGAACTTCGACCTCCATCCGGACTTCGTCGACGTGAAGTTTCGCTTCTTTGTTGCCTTTGGTTGGGGATTGCCTTCATAAAAGCATACAAAACCCTAATCGTATTGACCGACAATGCGGAATGCGACGTCTGCTGCACCGAAGAAGACGTCGACCATCTGATATACCGTTGTCCTCGATTTGCCTCCGAAAGACAGAAGCTTTCGAACGCATTGCGACAATTGGACGATCGGCCACTTTCTATGCTGATGCTACTGGAACACCGCCCTCGCCTTTCGTCGGCTCGAAAAGCAGTCAAAGCCGTCTTGTGCTTTTTGAGGACTGCAGGCCTATGCGAACACCTTTAAGTTTTGTATAGTGCCACCGCTGCATACGTGTCAGCCCATTGACTGACAATCCTGTTTTTCTCTTTTTCTCTTCTCTTTTCTGACTCTCTCATCGTTACGCCCCTTTCCCGTTCCCTCAGCGTAGGGTAGTAGCAAACTGGGCATGTGCCTGGTTAACCTCCCTGCCTTTTCTCTTGTTGTTCTTGTCCTCCTCCTCGGCTGGGAATACCTGACGAAGGCCGGACCCCGACCAAAACATAGAAATCAACAAAGGATTTCGTTCGTTACTTTGCTGAAGCCATTTTACATATGGCTCATACCATATCAAGTGTACCCAGAAAACTTTTGACCATATCCTATCATGTTGAAAAAAAATGTGATGGTATATGTGAATGTGCCAAGTACTTGTTGGGGCTTTATATTGGTTGGTTGGTTGCGAAACTTCATTGTGGTCATGCATGGCGCGCTTCAGCACACAGCGGGTGACCCCCACGTCGGGACCGTTAGGCCAGAGCCTATCGGCCGCTCCGCGGGCCTGCTGGACGGCCCAAACTTGGTCGGCCAGGAGGGAGCTGCGTAGGGCCGCCTCCCACCTGATCGATGTAGTGTCGGGGTTAGTGTACATTGCCTTGCACTCCCAGAGCATGCGCGCCAGCGTGGATACATCCACACATGCGGGGCAAGCGTCATTGGGGAACACGTCAGTATAAATAGCGTGAAGGGATCTCAGGTTAGGGTACGTGTTGGTCTGCAGTAGTCTGAGCGTAAGGGCCTGTGGCCTATTAAGTTTTGCATCAGGGAGTGGATATAGTTTTCGCGCGAGGTCAAAATGTTTTGTTATTTCGTTGTACGTGGCAGGCGCGTCCCTGTTTTCCGCAACCCCGTTGGCCCCGAATCGTTGCCCGGAACCGGCATTGTTGGTTAGCGCGCGCGCGGCCTCGTGAGCAGACTCGTTGAGGTCGGGGGGAGCGCCTTGGACCTGTCCAACATGTACAGGAAACCAGATCAGTACGTGGTGCTTTATACCGTCGTGGCCACCACTCCGGAGAACGCGCAGGGATTTATTGGAGATTACACCGCGCTCGGAAGCGCGAATAGCTGACCTAGAGTCACTACAGATGACCTACCTTTCACCTTCCAGGATGTCCTTGGCGATGGCAACTTGCTCGGCTATCGTCGGATCGTCAGTGTGAACCGATGCGCAGTTGGTGATTTGCTGTTTAGAGAAGACGACGACTGCGGAGAAGGCACGACTCCCAGGTACGCTGCCACGTCGACAAAGCTGACGCCGCGCTCCTCGCTGTGAATCTGCTTGAGAAGAATGGCAGCTCTAGCCCGTCACCTACCATGATTGTGCTCGGGATGGACATTCCGTGGTATCGGTGCCACGGTGATGAGGTCGCGAATCTCACGGGGCACGTGTCTCATCTTCTCGTTCACTTCAGCCGGAGAGTGTCCGAGCTCTCGGAGTATATGCCTGCCGGTCTGGGAGCTCGAAAGGCGTGTGAGCTGGCCCCGCTCCTGCGCTTCGGCAATCTCCTCCGACGTATTGTGTACTCCGAGCTGGAGCAGGCGCTCGGTGCGCGTCCTGATCGGGATACCGAGGGCCCGCTTGGTAATCTTTCTGAGCAAGACGTTGATCTTGTCACGCTCGGCACGCTGCCAATTGTGCATGGCCGCGGCATATGAAAAGTGGCAGAGCACAAAGGCATTGACCAGGTGGATTAGGTTGTCTTCCTTGAGGCCTTGGTAG